TTGATATAGAGTCTTGCCCAGGCTGGAGTACAGTGGCATGATCTTGCAACCTCTGCCTCCTGGGTTCAAGCAATTCTCATGCTTCAGCCTCCCAAGTAGACGGGATTATAGCTGTGCACCACCACACCTGGCTAGTTTTTGTATTTTTTAGTAGAGATGGGATTTTACCACATTGGCCAGGCTCGTCTCAAACTCCTGACTTCAGGTGATCTGCCCACCTCGGCTTTCCAAAGTGCTGGGATTACAGGCATAAGCCACCATGCTTGGCCACGTATTTAACTTTTAACAAAACTCTGCCAAGGCCCCTTTTTCATTGTGTCATTTAAATGATATAGAAATATATATTTTTAAAACCCTAGGTTTTCAAATTTGTGGATACACATTTTTCACAACATCCTTAATTACTTAAAAAATTATCTCTGTGTTTCTTTCTCTCTTTTCATGGATTCTGTTATGTTGCATTTTTTTCTTTATTGGTTTTGTCCAAGGTTTTTCTCTTATTATCAGAATAATCTGGTTTAGTTTCTTTAATCACCTCTAGTGTCATTCGCTCTTTTCTTATTTTTCTTCTTTATTTCTTCTTATGTATTTGGGTTTACTCCCTTGCTCTTTGTCAAAAACTTTAGCTAAGTACTTAACTCAGCTTTTTAAAGTCTGTTTTGAAATTTCAATACAATGAGACATTAAAACAATCATGGAATACAAACATTGAAATTGTGAATTGAAATCTTAAGACTGGGGTTTTGAAATGAATCTTATGTGTATTATCTCTAAATTAGTCTTTAATTTGAATGCAATTAAAATCAATATTCCAGAAAAATTTTGGTGGAAACTTTGAGAAAATAATTCTGATATTCATTTGAAAGATGGACCCTTTTGAAAAGCAATAATGATGGGGAAGTTGCCTTACCATACCAGATAGAAGGACATATCATAATGCTGTTGTAATAGTGTTAGAAATAGACCAATGCATCACAATATGGAACCTGCAGATACTCATGTATATAAGAACTTGACATATGATACAGAGATCATCAATCAATTGGGGAAAAGATGTGTTATTTAATATATTATTTGAGAAATTGCCACACTTTGTGGAGGAAAATGAAATTGAATTCTTACTTTATGCCATACGCAAAAATAATCTTTAAATAAATTAAATAGATGTTAACATGAATCTGAAATTAAAACTATAAAGCTGGTAGAGGAAATTATTGGAGAAAATATTGTGCCTTGTGGTTGTGAAGGATTTCCTAAATGAGACTTCTAAAATCACAATCATAGGATAAAAAAGAATTCTATTATATTAAAATTAAAGATTTCTGTTCAATAAAGACCTCTGAAGAAATGAGCAGATATGTAACAGACTGAAAGAAGATTAATTGCAACTTTTAGAGCTAACAAATGATTAATATTTCAAATATGTATAAAGAAATTCTACAAATAAGCAATAGATAAATAAAAACCCATTGAAAAAATGAGTAAGGATGTAAGAAGGCAGTATGCAAAAGAAGAAACACAAATGGCTAATGTGTATATGAAGAGAAAGCATTAGGAATACTTATAAATAGCTGGTGGGTAAGTAAAACAGTGTTGCCATTCAAAATAGCAGTCTAGCAGTACTTAGTGAAATTAAATACATGTGTTCTCATCACCCAGTAATTCAGTTCTTAAGTACACTTATTAGCCCTGAGAAAGTTTTGTGTTAGAGACATTTATAAAGATGCTGATTGCAACATTATTTGAGAGAGAAAAGAGATGAAGGTAACTTAATTGTCCATTACTAGGGGAATCATTAAATAAACTATGGCCTCTACATAGAGTAAATAATAAACAATAAACTAGATTTACATTTGTACCATCGATATATTTCCATAGATACATTTCAGTAATACATGGTTCAGTGAAGAAAGGAAAGAAATAGAACAAACTTGTAGGTCAAAATGCTTTATATAAACTGATTTATACCAATGCCCATAAGGCAACACTATATTTTTTCAGGTAAACATAAATCTAAGTAGACAGATGAGATAGATTGAATAGAAATACATTAAATACACTGGAGTTGCTACTTGTGAAGAAATAAAACTGGAGATAGTAGTTAAAGGAGAAAAGTAATAAGCAGAGGCCCTTTGAAGATGAGTGGTGACAAAACACCATGCATCCAAGAGTGTGATCAATTCAATTCTGTATGCCAGAACTCTTTAATAGTATGAAAAATGAAATTGACAAGTTGGATAAGATTAAACAGAGTGCATATATTTATACACAGAGATAAAGATAGATTTGAGATTTAAGTGACAATAAGCCTGACATAAGAAACATGTAGCACTTCATATTCCAAAAACATTGAATATACATTTTCAAATGCCTATGAAATAGTCACACAAATATATGATATAGTTAAGTCACAAAGAAAAAAGGCAATGAATTCTGAAAATCAGAAGTTGTTCAGACCACGTATTCTGACCACCATGTAGTAATATATTAAAATTATTTATGAAAGAATATGGAAAACATTTTGATCTGAAGATTAAAAACAGATTTTTAAAAAGCAAAAAAATAGCAGATGCTCCTCTAAGTAATTATTTGGCTAAAGAATAAATCCTGAAATTAAAAATTATTTAGAAATGGATGAGAATGATAGCACTACATGTGAAAACATGTCAAGTATGATCAAAACAGTCTTACCAGAAATGTTACAGCTTTAAATGCTTTTATTAGAAAATGAGAAACACTGAAAATAATTTATCTTAATTGTTCAACTCATGAAGCTAACCAGCAACATAAACTAAAATAGCAAAACAGTCCCCACAAAAAGCAGTAGTTAGGAACTAATCAAGTTGAAAGTAGGAGTAATTGAAATAGAACATATACACAAAAACAAATTATTCGTTTAACCAAAAGTTCAGTCTTGAAAAAGACTAATAAAATAGAGAACTCTTTAGGAATTATGATGAAGGAAAATAAATAGAGATGGCATAAATAAGAAGATAGTGAAAAGTGTGGATACAGAGATTTAAAAATATTTGAATAACACTTAAAATTAAGTTAATAAAATGTCAGTTTATGGACATCTCATCAACAGCACTGTCATTCTTTCCAAACATGTAGATACGAATAAGGGCAACTTTTTAAATTAAAAAATTAAAAAATAATTCATGGTACCATTTCATTGCAATCATTTTTCTGTTTTGTTGTTTAGTTTTTGGAGTTGAACACTTCAAAATATTTGTTTCTTCTTTTCTCATATAAATATTTAACCTATAAATTTTGTAGAACTTTCCATTTAGAAGATATTTCAGAGGCAAAAAGGATTGGATATTCTACAAAACGAATATGTTTCAAACAAATCAGGTTGTTATGTGCTTATATGTATACAGTAAGTACTGTGACACTTTCTCATTTATATATATATATATGTATGTACACACACATAGGAATAGAAGATGCATGTAACATTATTAATAGTATCTGTGATGGAAAAGTTGGAATTAAAGACCTTTTATCCACTTTGAAGAGCCTGGAAAAACCTTTAAATGAAGAACAATTTAAGGTCTTATCAAACCATGCAACAGATGGTGAGTACTTCAGTTACTTCTCAGCTCTCCTGTTTAGAGTACACGTGTTCCCACAGGCTAAATTTTTAAAAAGTAATAATAATACTGTATACTTATTATGGAACTAGTATATTCATATGTTGCTCATTGTGAATTGTTACAACCCTTTTGGAAAGTGTATCGACGTTCTTTATTTGGGTAAGACAAACATAATCTTGTTATTCATGTTTTAAAACCAGATGTTCATAAATTGTAATATAATGGCCAAATACTACATATGGTAGGGCCCTACTCTTCCTTTTCTCCAACCCCGTATTCTAGAGAGAAGATACTTCATATATGCAGAGTTCCACAGACTTTTGCATTCTTTTGAAGAAGAACATAACCTTAGTGACCCTACCATTGTTGGATTCACATAACTTTTAGACTAGATGGAGTGTAAAGACAACAGTGAGATTCAGCAAATGACTTCTGGAATGTCTAGAAGGCATCCATTGCATGGGTCTAACCATTTCCTTGCTTTTATTTATTTATTTATTTATTTTATTATTATTATTTAGTTTTATTTTTTTATTGCATTTTAGGTTTTGGGGTACATGTGAAGAACATGCAAGATTGTTGCATAGGTACACACATGGCAATGTGATTTGCTGCCCTCCTCCCCATCACCTATATCTGGCATTTCTCCCCATGCTATCTCTCCCCAACTCCCCACCTCCAGCTGTCCCTCCCCTTTTTCCCCCAACAGACCCCACTGTGTGATGCCCCCCCTCACTGTGTCCGTGTGTTCTCATTGTTCAACACCCGCCTATGAGTGAGAACATGCGGTGTTTTATTTTCTGTTCTTGTGTCAGTTTGCTGAGAATGATGGTTTCCAGGTTCATCCATGTCCCTACAAAGGACCCAAACTCATCGTTTTTGATGGCTGCATAATATTCCATGGTGTATATGTGACACATTTTCCATGTCCACTCTATCATCGATGGACATTTGGGTTGGTTCCAGGTCTTTGCTATTGTAAACAGTGCTGCAATGAACATTCGTGTGCATGTGTCCTTATAGTAGAACGATTTATAATCCTTTGGATATATACCCAGTAATGAGATTGCTGGGTCAAATGGAATTTCTATTTCTAGGTCCTTGAGGAATCGCCACACTGTCTTCCACAATGGTTGAACTAATTTACACTCCCACCAACAGTGCAAAAGTGTTCCTATTTCTCCACATCCTCTCCAGCATCTGTTGTCTCCAGATTTTTTAATGATCGCCATTCTAACTGACGTGAGATGGTATCTCAATGTAGTTTTGATTTGCATTTCTCTAATGACCAGTGATGATGAGCATTTTTTCCTGTTTGTTGGCCTCATGTATGTCTTCTTTTGTAAAGTGTCTGTTCACATCCTTTGCCCACTTTTGAATGGGCTTGTTTGTTTTTTTCTTGTAAATCTGTTTTAGTTGTTTGTAGATTCTGGATATCAGCCCTTTGTCAGATGGGTAAACTGCAAAAATTTTTTCCCATTCTGTTGGTTGCTGATTCACTCTAATGACTGTTTCTTTTGCCGTGCAGAAGCTGTGGAGTTTCATTAGGTCCCATTTGTCTATTTCGGCTTTTGTTGCCAATGCTTTTGGTGTTTTGGTTATGAAGTCCTTGCCTACACCTATGTCCTGAATGGTTTTGCCTACATTTTCTTCTAGGGTTTTTATAATATTAGGTCTTATGTCTAAGTCTTTAATCCATCTGGAGTTAATTTTAGTGTAAGGTGTCAGGAAGGGGTCCAGTTTCTGCTTTCTGCACATGGCTAGCCAGTTTTCCTAACACCATTTATTAAACAAATATAGTGGAGTTTTTGTTCTTTTGTACTTTGTATAAATGTAATAATACTGTATATATTTTTATAGTTTGCTTTTAGCTCAGTATTGTGAAATTTAGCCAAATAGATACATTATAGCTGTGGTTCATTCCTTTTTACTGTTGTATAGTTTTCTATTTCATGAACAAACCACTATTTTAAGACAAATCTGCCCTATTGATATTGAATTTAGGCCAGATTTCAGTTTTTGCTATGCTGTTACGAAAAAGAATGTCATATTTATCTCTTGATATGCATGTCCAAAAGCTTTTTTGAGTATATTTCTAGGATAACTGCTAGGTCTTAGAATATTTTCACGTTTTACTTTAAAAAGCAATGCCAATTTACAAAGTAGATATAATGATTTATACCCCTACCAATAATGGGAAAGAATTCCTGTGGTTCCATATATTAACCAACATTTGGTATTGTTAGAATTTTTTTTTTTTTTTACTGTTTTCAAATCTGTTGGGAAAATAAAAATACCTAATTTTGGTTTTTACTTAAAATTCTTTGATTACTAATGAGATTGAGCACCTTTCAAATGTTTTTAGCTATTTCAATTGACTATCTAATGAATGCTCAATTAGAACTTCTCCTCATTTTTTTGGTGAGAGGGATTTCATTTTTAAGATATTAATTTATAGAGGTGCCTTATATATTCTGGATACTAGCCTTTAGCACTGTACTTTACCAATATTGTCTCTTAGTCTACGGTTGTTTTTTTCACTTTTTATGGTATCTTTTGGTATACATTATTTCTTAATATGAATGTACTCAAATCTATCAATATTTACCTTATGGGCAGTAAACTGTGTCATGTTTGAGAAATCCTGCCCCTATCCTGAGACCATGAAGAGATTCTTCTGTTATCTTCTAAAAGTTTTGCCTTTCACTTTTATGTCTTTGATCTACCCAAATGTAATTTTTATTATGATGATTAATAGGGGCCCAATTGTATTTTTTTCTATCTTGTTTATTGAGAAAACTCTTCTTATTGAACAATAATATCATTTCTGTCTGTATCAAGTGTCTGTATATGCTTAGTTCCTTCTATTGGCCTATTTTTCAATCCTTGTATCAGTACCATATATTTACTATAGTTTTAAAATAAACCTTATGTGTATTAGATGATACTCCCGTTGCCCCCATTTTGTTGTTCTTCAAGTATGTCTTGGCTGTTCTTGAATGTTCCTTGTCCATATAAATTTAGGGAACAGATTGTCAAAATCCTTTGGGAGTTTTGAATATATAGTTCAACTTGGGAGAACTTGTATCTTTTGTATGTTAAATAAAAGCTTTTTTTATTTTAATAGTTTTTGGGGTACAAGTGATTTTTCGTTGTATGGATGAATTGTGTAGTGGCAAAATCTGAGATTTTAGTGTACTTGTCACCTGAATGTAGTGTACATTGTACTCAATATGTAATTTTTTATTCTTCAACCGCCTCACACCTCCCCTTTCTGAGCCTCCACAGTCCATTATACCACTTTGTATGTCTTTGCATACCCATAGCTTAGCTGCCACTTATAAATGTGAACATGCCATATTTGATTTTCCGTTCCTGAGTTACTTCACTTAGAATAATGGCCTCCAGCTCCATCCTAGGTGTTGTAAAAGACATTATTTTATTCTTTTTTATGGTTCAGTAGTATTCCATGGTGTATATATACCACATTTTCTTTATTCACTCATTGACTTATGGGCACTTAGGTTGGTTCCATGTCTTTGGCATTGTGAATTGTGCTGCAGTAAACATATATGTGCAGGTGTCTTTTTGATACAATGATTTTTATTCCTTTGGTAGATAACCAGTAGTGATATTGCTGGATCAAATGGTAGATCTACTTTTAGTTCTTTAAGAAATCTTTATATTGTTTTCCATAAAGGCTGTACTATATTCCCACACTCAGTGTATGCATCTTCCCTTTTTACCATATCCATGCCAACATCTATTGTTTTTGGACTTTTTAATAATGCCTATTCTGGAAGAAGTAATGTGGTATCTGATCATGGTTTTAATTTGCATTTCCTTGGTTATTAGTGATGTTGACCATTTTTTCATATGTTTCTTGGTTATTTGTATATCTTCTTTTTTTTATTGTACTTTAGGTTCTGGGGTACATGTGCAGATCATGCAGGATTGTTGCATAGGTACATACATGGCAATGTGGTTTGCTGCCTCTATCTCCCCATCACGTATATCTGGCATTTCTTCCCATGTTATCCCTCCTCAGCCTTTCCACCCGCTGCTGACGCTCCCCTAGCCCCCCAACAACAGACCACAGTGTGTGATGCTCCCCTCCCTTGTCTGCTCATGTCATTTGCCCACTTTCTAATGGTATTATATATATATTTTTTTCTTGCTGAGTTCTTTGAGTTCCTTGTAGTTTCCAGATATTGGTCCTTTGTCAGCTGTATAGTTTGCAAATAATTTCTTCTGTATTGTTGGTTGTCTATTTAGCATATTGATTATTTCTTTTGCTGTGCAGAAGATTTTTAGTTTAATTAGGTCCCACTTATTTATTTTTGTTTTTGTTGCATTTATTTTTGGGGTCATAGTCATAAATTCTTTGCCAAGGCCAATGTCCAGAAGAGCTTTTCCTAGGTTTTTCTTCTAGAATTGTAATGGCTTCAGGTCTTACATTTAAGTCTTTGATCCATCTCAAATTGATTTTTGGATAAGTTGAGAAATAAGGAGACAAATGTGGCTATCCAATTTTCCCAGTACTATTTATTAAATAGGATGCCCTTTCCCCAATTTATGTTTTTGTATGCTTTGTCAAAGATCAGCTGGTAATAAGTATTTAGTTTTATTTCTGGGTTCTCTATTCTGTTCCATTAGTCTATATGTCTACTTTTTCTTTCTTTAATCAGTACCATTCTGTTTTAGTAACTATAGCCTTGTAATATGATTTGAACTCAGGTAATGTGATGTGTCCAGATTCATTCTTTTTGTTTAGGATTGCTTTGGCTATTCAGGCTCTTTTTAGGTTCCATATGAATTTTAGGATTTACTTTTCTAGTTATGTAAAAATAATGTTGGCATTTTGATAGCAATTGCATGGAATCTGTAGATTGTTTTGGAAAGTATGGTCATTTCACAATATTGAGTCTCCCAATCCATGAGCATAGGATGTTTCCATTTGTTTGTGTCATCTATGATTTCTT